AGAGATTTTTTTGTTCAGTAGACCCGGGCTGGAGCTAGCGTTCTGCATTTCAAACATGTCCCCCAAGTTCTTCTGCTGCAGGGGATCTTGAGAACCACATACTGAGATGGTGGCATTTACCCAGATGGTGTTACCATGACCGAATGTTCATGGCCTCACAGCTATACCACACAACAGTAAACTCAGATCCAGTTAGTTCCCAGCTGCCATGAATAGTCTTTCCAGCTAAGAATGGATTTGTGGGCAGGGTTCTGGACCCCCACTGATCCTTGGAATTTCTAAAATACTTACAGTTCTGAGATTGGAGACATATAAGGAGGCATCACATACAATGCCATACCCCACTAGCCGTTCTCCAGGGAAGAGAGAGCTGGTGCTGACAGGTGAGATCAGGACCTCGGTGGTCTCAGGGAAGATCCACTCCACAGTCACATCACTCAGGACTGGGGCCATGGCCTTCTTCAGGGATTTGACCATCTGTTGGGTCGGGTCAGAACACAAGTTGAGGAGATATACGAGCAGGGATATGTACAGATGAGGAGCATGAAGACCACGTGGGTATGAGCATGAGGTGATGTGAACATGGAATAAATGACAGTAGACCTTGGGGTGGCTTGCTCAGCGGTGAACATGCCTCTGAGCTTCTTAGACTCCTAAAATGTCAGAGTTGGAGCAGATCTTTGCTGTCACCTTCTCTAAGCTTAGCAATTTATAAATTAGAAAATCCAAGGCTCAAAGTAGAGCTGTGATTAGCCCGGGGCACACAGAAAGTCTGTGTCAAAACATGGACTAAGCAGTGATCTTGAGCAAGTCAACTTGCCTTCCTGGGCCACAGTTTCCCCTTCTGTTAAAGCGGGCTCATAATTCTCAACTCTCAATACAGTTGGGAGGATTATCTGGGATCCCGAATTTGAAGTCTCTGCCACATGATAGGTGTTCAGTAAATGACAGCTGGTTTAGCATCTAGACAGTGGTTTAGCATCGCCTAGGATGATTTCCTCAAATGTACTACAAAGCTGGAGAAAAATGATTTGGGGATTGTGGCAGCCATAGAGGGGTCCTTTCAAATCTCCCTTTGAAAAAGACTGTGCTTTTTTGCTGCAAGGAATGCAATTAGGTGACAGTCTCCACATGCAATGCCTCAGCTTTCAAACCAAAACCACACCTCTCCCTGGAAGTCCCCAGGGAACAAATGAGTGTAACAGGGATACCAGGCAGTACCTGATCTTTCCACCCAACATAGACTACCTAGTGGGCAATCCTTGCTCCAGAGATCCCTGTTGAGTTGGTTGAGTCCTTGCCAGACCTGCATTGCAGTCTGAGGCTCTCCCTGCCCAATCCTGCTTCTGTCCTTCCCTTTTATAAGTGTTGCATCTGCACAAGGATTGAAGAGTTTTTCCCTTCCTGTTTCTTCCTTTTTTCCCTTTCATAGATTTTATCCCTCAATAAACCTCTTGCAGTCTTAACCTCATCTCTGTCTCTTGTTCTTGGAGGATCTCGGCTGACACAGGGACTTCCTAAAGGCTGGATTATTTGTGCCAGTGATGCAGGAAATGGAAGGAAGACTACAATTACCTTGATTTCTGGGCCTTTTAGATTCTTCTGAGCCATCATTTGTCCTTATCAGGGACATGGCCAGAAAGGACCCCAAACATAACTCATGTCCATAGAGGCAGTGACACCTTCAGGATCTCCAGTTCTGCCCAGCCAGTGGATGGACCATATGATCCAGTGGCTGGAGACCAGGGGATCTAGTGTCCTGTATTAGCTCCAAGAATTGCCTCTGTGGCCTCTACCTCTGGTCCTTACTGGCTTGCAGCGTGGCCTCGTGGAGCTAAGACTTGGGGTGAAATCCCATCTCCACCATTGACTATGACCAGTCCGGGCCTCTGAGTTTTCAGCACCAGGAGAGACCAAGGCCCTTCCGCCTACCTTGGGTTGCAGCCGCTCCCCCTCCACCAGGAACTCAGCACTGCCCTTGGACACGGTTGCCAGCCCTTTCACCAGTCTGTGGCAGACGTTGGGTCCGATTCCAAAGCTATAGCACCTGGGGGAAGGGGAGGGGACAGGCTGCTGCTTCCCATCCTCTCTGCCATTTTTGTCCCCTGATGGGAAAAGGGACAGATCACGATCCAGCAGAGCCGTCTCAGAGGGTGAGGGAGACGGAAGAGGGCCATCTGTGAGTGCTCACATTCACACACAGACAGCTCATAAACTCCCACCCCAGCGCCAAGTCAGAGCGGCAGGAAGGACTTCCTCCGCCTGGGCTGCTCTTTGGGACATGTATGCAGAGGTGTGGGCATCTTAACCCCCTGACCTCTTGAGTGGAAAAAGGTCAACTCTGAGGTCAGCCAGACCACTGTGGAAGCAAAGCACAGTAGAAATTGTGGGTTCTCTCCTCTGCTTCTGGCATTTTCCATGTTGCCCTGGTTCTTGCCCCCATCCCAGAATAACCAAGCCCCAGACCTTCAGTGTGTGCCCACCTGGTGGAGAAGGCATGGTTTCGCACCAGCTCCAGCACCTTCCCTGTATTGTTGACGGCCCCGTCAGTGATCAGGAAGAGCAGCCTCGGGTGGCCTTGGAGCACTGGCTGCCGAATGATCCACTTGAGTGGGGAGAGGATGTTGGTGCCACCCATGTCAGCTCGCATTCTCTGGATGTTTTCACAGGCCATGGCCAAGGTCTCCTGCAGAGAAGGGCCATGAGCAGGGAGGTTTTCCCCAGGGTCAATATATGGTGCAGAGAACAAAAGCCCCCTGGAGGATGAGTCCTTTGTTTCTCCAGATCTTAATTCAACTTCACTGGAGTTGACTCATGTTCCCAATCTCTGCCCCATGCACAAGAAGAATAGGTGGCCATTTTTTTGGCCTGATTCTGTCCAATAGCACCACCTACCAATGCCCTAAATGCCACCATTCATGGTGTATTAACATCCTGTTGTCCTTTCTTTGTTCCTTTTTAAGAATAGAAACAGCCTTGGAAAAGGTAGCACATCAAACCCTAACTACTCAACACAAATGAGATTTCCTTTCCTGATGAAGGAGGTAGGAGGTGTGGTAGAAAGAACTCCAGACTAGAAATCATGAGACTTGAGTCCTGGCCTGACTGTGGCACTAAATTTCTACAATGCTTTGGGGAAAACATTTCCTCAATCTGAGCTTCAGATTTCCTCCCTCCTGGGCCAACACTGTGGACACAACTGGCCAAGGATTATTGGCACTGGATGGATGTCACTGTAGCAAGGACAGATTCTCACTGGACACCAAATGTTCTCCTGCTCTTGGCTCAGGAAGATGCTCTTCAAACATCTACACTTGGAGTAATGGCATATGTCAAAAGTCTTAAAATGCATATGTACTTTTGAACCAGCAAGACTAGGAATTTATCCCAAGGGAATCGTTAAGGATGAATGCAAAGTCTTTGCTGCAAAGATGACTAAATAGAAAAAAATGGGGACAACTTAAATACCCAATTCTAGGGGTTTAGTTAAATAAGTCACAATCTATCTGTGTAGTGAAATACTAGGCAGCTATTAAAATTATGCTGCAGATTAAGACTTACTGGCATGGACATATGCTCATGATAGGCTGTTGTGTTAGAAAAATAGGTTACAGAAAGTGTGGAAGGGCTAATCCTATCTTTACTGAAAATGTGTGTAAATGCATAGAACAAGGAGGGATTTATACTAAGCTCTTAACTGTGGTTTTTCTATTTTTTTTCCTGACTGATGTAATCATGGGGGATTTTCAAATTTTTCATCTTGATTATCTGGATTTAACAATTGTGGGACAATCAATATATATTATTTCTGTATTAAAAATCCATAAAGAAGTTACTTTAATTGAAAAGTGCCCCCTCTGTCCTT